AGCCTCCTTTCATACGACAGCTCTCTTATCCTTCGAAACCACCTTGTCAAACGCTTTCGAGCTCCTTGTAGCTCCCTTAGATATTCCTCTCAAGATTCTCTAGAGCGAAGGATGTAGAAATAGCCCCACTCAGTAGGTATCTAAGTTACTACGCGTGCTTCGCTTCAAAAAATCTAACTTCCAGGACGTAGAGGCCTCGACCTTATGGTTGTCTTGATTCCGACTTGACGTCGTAGACAGACCAACCGAGATGTACGTTTATATGGCTCGTAGAACGGNTGATAGTTCTTCTACCCTCCGAGGATACGAGATTCGGCTGTATTAGTTGTTGCGCCTGGTTTCGGCAATGCTGAAAAAGAGAGAACATATTTCCCTCTCACCGAGTCGGTGACAGAATTGCGTACACATAAACGTTCCGATGCGGGTATGCATGTTGAAGAAGAATCGTAATCCCTTAATCTTGTTAGGTTACCTCTAGAAGGATTTCCGAGCATAATTGATCTAGTTCCATCTTAAAGGCTTGCACTGTTTAACTAAACGAGTCTTTCGGGAAGGCGATTCCAGAAGTTAACCATCCTGTTGGTGAAGAAATTTCTCCTTACTTCCAGCCTGCTTCTGTTCTTTTATAGATGGTATTCGCGGACCCTTAATTAACTAGTCTATCTCATAGGTAGAAGACCAAGATCGGCATTCTTCATTTGTCTGACTACTTCGATCAGGTCCCCTAGTAAGCGTCTCCGGTGCAGAGAAAAGAGATTTAGGTACCGGGGCCGGTCCTTGTAGGAGATCCCCTTGGTTGTACGGACCATTCTGGTGGCTAGCCGTTGCACGTTTTCTAATCTGTGTCCATTACTCGATAGGGAGCCCAAGCTTGCAAGCACTATTCTAGGTGGGGTCTTAAGAGCACCATGTACATAGGAATAAATGCATCGGCTTCTCTGCTGGTTATTCCAGCTCGAGGTCCAAACAGCGCACTCCGCGCATTGTGGACTACTGGGGTCCATTGTTCGCTGGGAGACAAGTTGTATGTGACTGTTATTCCCAGGTCTTTAACGCGCCTCTCTTGTTTCAGAGAATGTGCATGTTGATTCCGGAGTCTAAGCCGCAGAGGCGGTCCGAGAGTATTTTTATTTAGAACAGTATTTAGTTGCGTTCAACAATAGATCCCACCGCACCATCCAAGATGAAAGCTTGTCTAGGTCACTTNCACTTTGTATTGAGTGACCATCGAACGAGCCGCCAACTATTTTGACATCATTTGTGTAGATGAGGCATGGGTTTTCAACCTTCTCCGCAAGGTCGTTGATAAATATAAGGAAAAGGAGTGGTCCTATTAATGACCCTTTGGGGACACCGCTAGTCTCATTTCCCTCGCAGCAGACCGTGGATCTAATTTTTTTCCTAGTAGGAGCGTTCATCGAATAAACTGGTTATCCAGTTACATACCTGGATTGGGCCAGAGTTTAGCCATTTTAATTTTTAATTCGCTTGTTGGTGTGTACTTGTCTGTCAATTTCAGAATATTTTGCTTGATAGCCTGCCGTGTTGACTCCATGGTTGGGATCATCGGCTACCCACTGGAGTTCACGGGCTTCCTTTAGGAGGGCGTCTTGGTTGATTTTACTGTATAGCTTAGCTACCCTACGCCTTGGGGTGGGAACCTTCAACGCAAGATCGAACAAGATCACTAAATGATCCCTCCTTCCGAAAGGATTTCTGTGGAGCAGATTTTTAACCTCACTTTCGCTCCGCATAATTAATTGGTCTAGGGTCGACGGGATTTGCCTTTTTCTGAATCTGATCAGCCACATGTACTGATGAAGCTTGCTTTCGTGCGTCAACTCGAAACTAGGGCCCTCGCTGGTCTCAGTTTCCCACTGTATCAGTTTCAATTTCATTTTCTACAACCATTAACCGCAGACCTTCGTGCGCTGGTTTTGTTGCCCATTTGGATAAAAGAGCAGAATGAGAATTGGAATGTTGAAAGCAAATTCAAGCGGGAGATGGAGAATTCATACAGAGTGGTGTTAGGAGGATAATGAGTGGATGCACGAGCGCCACTGTTGGCGACACCCAGTCATATTAATCAGTGTCTCATTGAAGACCATCATCTCAGGGTCCCCAGCCATGGAGCCTAACGGGACCTATGTGACAGTCTCCTGGTTAGAGTTTTCATACCTTCATGCCAGGTTTTCGTTTGACTATCCTTGATCTTTTTCCAACCGATACCTGATTCGGCAAACATCGCTCGCCGTGGAACCCTATTTGGTGACATGCGTAACACATGCTTCAACCAACGTGATCTATGGAGGTCAACCACTTGCTTCAGTGGACGACCGCGACTGCCTAAAACTCTACGCCTAACCTCAGCATTGCTCTTCCGGTTACCCCACAAGATTCGTGCAATGCGACGTAGACAGCGGTATTCGAACACCGACAATCTATTTTTATCCTGTTTCCGCAGTGGCCAAGTCTCTGCACGGTAGAGCAGAACAGGCCGAACTGTTGCAGCATACACTCAACCCTTCACAGACAGCCGGATATCGCGACGGCACCATAGATGTCTCAAATTGACAGATGCCAACCGAGCCTTTTATATGCGTGCCGACACTTCATTGGTGATGCGTCTGCCAGGTGAGATGTATCTGCCCAAATAGCAAAACTTATCCACTTGCTCTATTACTTCCCCGGTTA